AAAAAACTTCTGAGAGAGTCAGTGTAGGAAAACTGGTTCTAAAAGTATTGAATGTAGGCAAGCAGGTGGTGGTGGTGGGCTTTTCCCTACGTGTGAATCTGTGGTTTTCTGCATATTTATCATATGTTCTTTCATATACATAATTATTCTATTCTTTACCCAAATGAAAAATTTCTCTGAGATATAAGTAATTTAAAAAAAAAAAAGGAAAAGGAAAAAAAGTGGAAATCAGCGATCAGCCTGGGACTGCCATGAGGCCTCCAGCTGAAGAGTGGGAACTGGAAACTGTTACCAGAACTAGAAATTAAGGTTATAAGACATTAAGAAACTTAACTTCTAATTTCTCATGAGACATTCTCATAAAATTGCTGAGCTAGTAATGTTTTGTCTTTTCTGTTGTAGCTCTCTATTTAGCATCCAAACTAACGGTCCTTTCCTAAATGTAATATTACACTAATGTCTGTGGACTATTCCTACAGGTATCTATTACTCATTCTCCTTTTTGCAAAAAAAGGGGAAATTGCTATTCATTGACTCCACGACCACACACATGCTTTTTAAAATTCTATTTAATACTGTAACAATAGGGAAGAAATGTCAGATTTTATGAGATTGCATTCATAACTTTTACTTAAAGTAAGAAGTATCGGGGGTTTAGAGCCTTCAGCAAACATATAAAAATAGAAACTATATTTTTCACCAGTGTGTCTTCCAGTCTGTTTAATGTAGCAGATTGAGTTAGTCATTAGAGAGTTTTTACTTCTGTGTTTTAAAAAAAATCTCAGCGTGTGGTTTTTTGTAAGGCCCTCAGTCACTCAGTGTATGTGTCTCTCCATCTTGTGACCTTATCTGCCATCCTCATCTCCCAATGAGGCAACTTCACCTGTGGCGAAGAACAAAGATCTTGCAGCCCATCAGACCTGAGCTTTGGATCCTGTGGTCTTGGGAAAATTATATACATTTCTTCATCTTAATTTAAAAGAGATGTTAAAAGAATACTTACCTCTGAGGGATATTTTGAAGATGAAATAGAAATGCCTATGCAGTGCTTAATTAATATAGTGCCTGGCACATAGTCAACAGTGAAAAATTAAAAGGAAGATTTTAAAACTTATGACCATTTGGCTATAAATAGAGAGCAATTAAAATAATAGATGGAACAGTACCAGAGAGGAGATTAAATGAGATGCAAAAGCAATTATTTTCACGTTTTGTCTGTCGAAAATAAGTAAACGTCTCAAACGTTATGCTTCCCATTTGTAGACCATCCCGCCCCGCGCTGGAGTGATCAGCGCCCCGCAGAGCCATGCCCGGGCGTCTGCTGGAAGACTGACTCCTGAAAGCCAAAGCAGACCATCAGAAGTACTGAAAGGTAGACACCGTATTAGAAATATCTGTTAAAAAAGCCCAGGACCTCCTAACATTTTACTAAAGGAAGGATAAAATATGGTTTTCTAGAAACCACTAACATCCAGAAATGATTTTTTCAGGTTCAGTTCTTCTTCCTGAACCTCTGAAGCCTCAGGCCGCCCTGCCTGTACAGCCTTCTCCACCCCCACCTGTTCAAAAGATGCAGGAGCCTCTGGTCCCTCTGGCAGCACCTGTGCCTCAGTCTGCCCTGCAGCCGAACCTGGAAAGCCCCCCGCAGCCCCCACCCCGGAGCAGGTCGTCCCACAGCTTGCCTTCAGAACCTTCAGCACAGCAGCAGGTAGGTTCCACCAGTAAACAAAATGTCATCTTCGATACCTTTGGTAGAGTCTTGGAACATGCTTATTTTAATTATTAGCTTTTGAAAGAAAGAAACAAATATCTGATTCAATTTTCTTTTTCTTTTTGGTGATAATAGCATCTTGAGATATGACTTCAACAAATGAGTGTCATTTGACACCTCAGACTAAACAGATGACAGATGCATGGTTTGGCAGTTTGAGGGTTTGGCTTTTTTTTTTTTTTTTTTAAACCTGTTGCTTAGATCAGAGTTTCTCAGAGAGCCAGCCTAAGTTAGGGTCCCTCAGGGAGTTGTCAGGTGGCTCCCACGTTGTTTTCTCTTCTCTTATTAACTTTTAGAGTGTTTGTGACTTTTTAAAAATGCATAGTTTACTTTGGATAGTAAGTAAATTAGGATGAACAGCAATAGTTTATTTTTGTTATTGCTCACAGCTAATAAAGTAGTTTGGATTTTCACTTCCTGGGAGAGAGGTAATCAGATCAATCCCTGACCATCAGCCATGTGGTTAATTTCCAGTAAACAGCATAATCCTTTTATTCCTCCTGATGCAGGCATGGTTCTTTCCTGTGATGGAGCTGGCACTGGGCTCCTCGGATGTCTCAAACGGTTTCCGTCATTATTGGATCAGTTTTGGTGGCTTGGGTGTGCAGCAGTAGGCTTAGTCACCAAAGTAAAAACCATCAAAATAATGTCACTTCATTAGTGTCACGTAGAAAACAGTGCCATTGCCTTAAGTGGGCAGAAATTATAAGATCACAGGGACTTTTGTTATGCCAGAGTGATCTCATGTTGAAAAGACTTCTGGTATGTATATACAAAGTTATTTTGATACAGGAATAATCATTTAAGTTAAATTGTTTTATTCGGGGGGGGGCTGTTGTTTTACTTAGTTTTTGTTATATACAGTTCAGTAAAATTATTAAAATAAAATTTATATTTAGTAAATTCTTTTGTTGTTACATTTTTTTTTTTTAATCCTCAAATTTTAACTTGAAAATGCTATCAAGGCCAAAGAAATGTGTAAAGTTTTAAAAGTTTCTTTAAACTTTGGAAAGATCTAGAATACAGAAATATTGCTTAAAGAACAATTAGCAATGGCCCTTAAGCACATTTATAAATAATAGTTTGCATTTATTTTTACAGATATCTGAATATGTCCAGCTAGTTCACAGAAGTTAACAGTTTCTTATGCTTCTGCATAGTGAAAAACAGATTATTGAAGAAAATATGATTTTTAAAACAGTAATATTGCTAATAGCACTTACTCAGACTATTGGTCACATATATAAAAGCTGAAGAAGGATGTATAATTGAGAAAAATGTTCTCTTAAGTTAATACCAAAAAGTATTCTACACTTTTTACTTCAGAAAATTGAGGATGCTGAAAATATATAATAATTGTAGAAGTTCTTCAAACACTAAATGTCCACTATTCTTTTCTCTCTGCCAATCTACTTTTAGTGAGTCATAAATTTCTCATTTTCTTGTAAGGTGTGCTATTGTATTTTTTTAAATGTAATTGGAGGGCAAAAAACTTTCAAAGTAGCCATCCTAGAGCTTTCTATTACTGTTTGAGGACAGAAAGTGAACATCTGTTTCATAGTAAAAGCAAACCTTAATTCCTAAAATTCTCTTAATAGTTTAAGTATTCTTAGACCAATATGAAAGTAGATACAGTACATCAGGTTCCTGAATATTTTATTCAGTGTCGTTTCATTATAATGTTGAATAGATGCCGTAGGAACTTAACTCTCACTTATATCAATTAGCCTACAGTAAAATTAGTTTCATTATACATGGTTTTTTGCTCAAAGTTGAAGAACGTTAAGTGAAGACTTAACCGTACTCTAAAAAACTTCAGAAAGAGCAAAATGTCGAGTAAGATTGCAATTTTCAATAGAAAGTCATCTTATGACACAAAAATACTATAGGATGACTATTCCAATGACTGCCACATATCATTTTCTTAGGTCATTTTCATTGTTTTGATTTCTCATTTCCAGTGGAATAGGTGTGGTGATTTGGTGGCAGAAAGCACATGCTTTGTATGTGACCTGGTAGATTGAGTTCTCAAATCTTGTATTCAGTTCATAGAAACTACCACAGATGTTTGTTTTAAATGCTAAATATTCTCTTTTGCTTCAGTCATTGATATCAGATTCCTCTGAATATACACAGACACAATTTTCTTTTTGAGGGGGTGAAGATCTTGTTCACGTGTAGATTGTCTTTGTGAGGGGTCACAAAGTGGTTACAGTTTCCTCTGGGAGGGTACAGTGCTGGGGAGCTGGAAGGAAGGGGAGATGTTTTACTTTTTTGTACCTTTTGGAACCATAAGAATAATGCCTATTTGAAAAATAAGAAACATTTACAATTTTAAAAATCTTCTGTAGTGGCTATAAGTTGAAAAGGATGAGATTTTAAAATATGACATTTGATATTTTAAATAGTCACAAAATAATCTTAGAATTAAACATTAGTAATTTTTACATGTCTTTATTGATTCTGCATCAAATCTATAAGCTAAAACATAAAAACATGTATAACACAGCTTTACTTTTTATTTCTATTTAAATGTTCTTTGACTCTATAAATCAATATAGAAAAAGATTGTTTCAACTCAAATGATTATATAACCTGTTACATATCCTTTAGAAAATGCAAAAATGCCTCACTTACCTGTCAGACTTCCAACATTTTAGTCATCTGATTATCAGCTAAGAACCAGAAGCCAAGAAATCCACCAGAAGGCAAAGTAACAGCCTCACTGCCATACTGTTGACGTGATAGCTGACAGTGAGGGAAGAGACCAAGTAGAGAGAAATCTCAGCATTCCGATCTATTTAGTACCATCTCTGTACATCTTAGCACAAACTCATCCCTCCTCTCCTGTCCCGGGCCAAAACTGAGATGCGTAAGCCTAGGATTGTCGAGAAAGTATTAACTTGCAGGAGTCTTGTGTTTAGTAAACAGGAAACTCTAATAATATATTTTGGAATGGTGTCCCTAACTTGTCAAAATGAGTTTTGGTATTTTAAAATAAGGTAAGCTTTAGAAATTGGGGAAGATTTGCTCAAAACTGTTTCTTAAAAATACTGTGTTAAAACATACCACTGTGTCATAGAAAGATTATTATTTCATTTTTAAACAACAAACATAGGGTCCAGTCTCTTACTGCGTTGCACCTTCCAACTAATATGAGGTGAATTCATGGTAGTATCATCCTTTAGAAAGTTTGAGTCATATAGAACAAACCTGGATCCTGACCATTTTGTTAAAATAAGTACTAATTTTCCTTGGCACAGTTATGCCATTTTGTACATTCTCTCTAATGATGATAAACCCAGAGGCAGTCTTAAAACTGTGTCCTGCTCCTCTTGGCTGTCATAACAAAGTACCACAGACCGGGTGGCTTAAACAGTAGAAATTTGTTTTCTCACAGTTTGGAGTCTCGAAGTTCAAGATTAGGATGTCAGCATGGTTGGGTTGTGGTGGCAGCTATGTTCCTGGCTTGCAGAAAGCTGCCTTCTCGCTGTGCGCTCACATGGCCCTTGCTCTGTACTTGCATGAGGAGAGAGAGCAAGCTCGCCCCCGTGTCTTCTCATAAGGGCACTGATTCCATTGTGATGCCCCACCCTCATGACCTCATCTAACCCCGTTACTGCCTGAAGGCCCCATCTCCAAATACCATCCCTCTGGGGGTTTCAACATGCGAATCTGGGGGAGATGCAAACATTTCATCCATAACAGGCTGCTTAAAGTATTTTAGAGCTCCGAAAACCTATTTTGATGATTATTTTTGGAATAACAAAACTTTGAACTGGTTAGTAAGCAGCCTCAGACAAAATTAAAAACTTAAGCTCTAATTTAGCAATACACTTTTTATTCACAATTACAGAAGAAATTAGAATTGTGCCTTGAACTTACACCATGCCCTGCAAATATTACTGCTCTCGGATTCTGTATATAATAATAATGTAGAACAAAAAGTATTTTGAAGACTGAATTGCTAGGGTTGCTTGTTCGTCTCAGATTGTCCTCCTAACTCTTTCCTTTGATGTCTGTGTTCCCTTTCTTAAAGCAGGAGCAATCATCAGGGTAACAGGTATTGGATTATTTCTCAATCTTATATGTGCTTATCATCTGTCTTATTAGCACATTAGATGTATGAATCTTTTGCTTCATACATCTAAAGTTTCACTCATTTTTAAAACCACCTATTCACATTAATAAATTCTATTATCATATCATAAAACCTGCTTTTCCTTAGCATTTTGGATTTTTAGGAAGCATTTTAGTTATTCTTGCTTTACTATATTTTGCTCTGTTTTTTATGAAAATTAACAAGACTAAAAAGTATAACTTCAATAAGGTAAGCTTTACGTATATGAAAGTCTTATTTGGCAAAACCAAATTGATTCTTGGCATAATTACATAAATACAAAATTCAATTTTTTTTCCTAAGGTTTATTTTGGGAAAAAATTTTTTTTCAAATAATTTTAGTTGCAGAATTCTTCTTGGTAAGGAAGAATTGGTAATTTAGAAAGATGAAAGTTAATATTAGAACAGGATTATTTAAAGGTCCTTCCAACACCTTTCTCTGTAAAAATACCACTGTTTTTAATGTAATGATTGGTGGTGTGGCTGTCATTATAATTTTAAGCCTGATTAGGCAAAATGGTCCTACTTCTACCAAATTACCTTTAACTTATTTTGAAAAAAAAAATTTTTTTTAATAGGTGAAAATAAAAATATTTATATGTATAGCATTTATTTGACAAGGGCCTACTTTTCAAAGCTGTGCAAAGCATAAATTCTCCTTTCCTGTAACATCTGTATTGTGCCTGTGCTGTCTGCCATGGGAGAATTGGGTCCCAAACCCAACCCAGTCCTTCTCTTTTGTTATGTTAATCATAAATAATCCAGACATTATTGGTAAGATAGTTAATTGTAGTTTCGTGATGTTTATAATAAATTTGTCTCTCAAGTAGATTTCCACTTACATGTCTGCTTACCTTTAATATACTTAGAATACTGTTTAGAATCTGTGACATGTTTAACTCTTTAATTTTGGACAAATTATATTTATATTAAGTTTGAAGAAAAATATACGTGTTTATTCAATTATGAAGTATGTTATAGGACAATTGAATAAAACGAATCATATACTTGAAAGTTATTCACTTATGAAGTTATCCACTCCATTCCCTTTTGCAAATGAAAGCCTTCCCTATTCTTAAGCACCAAGTTACTGTTTGATAAGATCCATTTACGTTTCATGGGGACTGCTGCTCTTTTTCCAGCATATTTCATGACCATTCAGTTATTTTGCTGTAATAGCTATCTAAATCCATGTTGGGTAGTGCTCCATTTTATTACATTGCAAGTCTTGAGCTTAAATTCTCCCTTTTCTGTTCTTTTCAACCCAAATGTTTATTTTTTTAATTCTTAAATTTGGCATAAATACCCAAGTCATCCACCTGGTCTTAACAATTATGTAGAGGTTTTTAAAGTTAAAATGAAGTGCCTGATGAGCTAATTTGCTCACAGGGCCAGGGTCATAGTTCTGTTTCCCATAAGAGCTATGCCCCTCCCCGACTGGCTTCTCTGTGAACTCAGCACAGGGTGCCAGTTTTTTATAACTAAAGTAATTGGGAACACTATTCCTACCAAAAGCAGTTCACAGACACCCCTGTTAGAAAGAAATGGGCACCGCTCTAGGCACAGCTTCATTTTGGTTTTAGAATTAATATATCAAATAGAAAATAGGACTTTTCCTTCCTGGTTTTAAATAATCATTGTGTTTGGTTATTAATAAGCCAATCTGTTTTGGAACGTTTTTACAAGGTGAGGAAAGTTAGTTAAGGAATAGCAGGGCATTGTTCAGAATTTATTCTACAAAGAAGAACTTACGTTAAAGTCAAAGAATGCTTCAAACATTCATTTTTCCAAGTACAAAAGGAAAAGATGCATTGTCTTCGGCTTATGAATAGAAATCTACTAATAAAATTAATTTTCACCCACATAGTTGAATTTCCACAGTAACATTAACTTTAAATGGAACTATTGAAAAGAATAATGAAACCACATCACCATCATAGATGGGTGTTGGAAGTTTATGTAGATTTAGCATAAGTTCTGAATATGGGTTTCTTCAGTTTGTGCTAACATCTGATGGAACCGGGCATGAACAAACTCATTTGCTAATTCTGTACAATTCCATTTGACCATATCAATACTTGCATGAATGAAATGAGCTCTATTTAATAAATGGATTTATTTAGTAGAGAATTTTTAAAGAATAAGATTTTAGCTGTTTTACTTAATCTACCAGAGTAAAACTGCACCAGAGTAAAACTGCTGCTTTCTATTTTCTAAATTTGTATACTTGCCACCAAAACGAAGAAAAATTGAGACAGAAAGCAGCAAGCACAGGGAGTATTAAAAATAAATATGTTACTTTAAGTTTCTTTTTTTGATTATTCAGTACTCTCTTTTCCAGATAAAAACAAATGGAATCTCCGCTGTCAGACTGGAATCACCATTAAAGAGTGACCCATTTGAAGATCTGTCATTTAATCTGCTTGCTGTATCAAAGGCTCAGTTATCTGTTCAAACGTCACCTGGTCTAACCCCACACCCAAAGGGGTTGATTCAGTTGCCTTCTGCAACACAAAGTAACATTAACGCTTTGAGTTCCGTAAGTTGCATGCCGACATTGCCTCCAGTTCCGGCCCGGAGCAAATCCCAGGAAAATATGCGACGTTCTCCAAACCCGTTTACCATGAGCTTGACCAGCACAAACCCTTTCACCGACAGGACTGCCGCTTCCGGAAACCCATTTAGAGCCAAATCGCAAGAATCAGAAGCAACTTCATGGTTCTCCAAAGAAGAGCCCGTTGCTCACAGTCCTTTCCCTTCTCTGAAGCCTCCTGGTCATACCAATAGCAAGCCTCCGCCTTCACTGGATGGCTTTAAGGACAGTTTTGATCTGCAGGACCAGTCTACAGCAACAAGTAGCCACCCAAAAGGATGGGTGACCTTCGAGGAAGAAGAGGACTTTGGTGTGAAAGGGAAGTCAAAGTCGGCTTGTCCGGAGTTCCTGGGTAATCAGCCAGGTTCGTCTTCTGGCCCCGATGCGATCTTTGATGATGACTGGAATAAAGGTACAAATGTTTCTTTCTGTGTGTTGCCATCAAGAAGGCCACCTCCACCTCCTGTTCCTCTGCTCCCACCTGGCACTACCCCTCCAGTAGATCCTTTCACCGCTTTGGCATCTAAGGCATCACCCACACTAGACTTCACAGAAAGATAATGCCATGCAATAGAAAACAGCTGGTTTTCAGTTTTGGCAGGGTAGAGACAAAAGAATTGGGCATTAGTTATTCATTATGTGCAATAGGCATTGTTAAGTGCACTGATGTCGTCATGAAATACCACTATTTAATGTGTACAGAGCTGGACTATGTGTATATTGGAAATAAGGAAAAATCCTCACCATCAACTGGAGTTTTGATATGTTTCTGTTTGGATAACTAAGAGAGTAGTAGCCATAAAAAGTGCTCAAAACTACTTTAGAAAATAGTCGTTATTCAGAAATTCTTTGTTAGTCTTCTCTAAAGGATCTCAAGAAGCCCAAACCACTTCCAGCTGACATTACTGCCAGCCCTTTTGTACTTGTTAACAATTGGTATTTAAAAGTGTTTACCAAAGAGCTGTCAAAGTGATACTGAAACAAAATTTTGAAAGGCGTTGCTTTAAAAAAAAAAAAGCTTGTATACACACATATGTGCATATATATACACTGACATACTTATAAAACTCATCATTTAAATTCCAGGATATAACTCAAACCAGATTTTCACCTAAAAGTTCTAACAGTTCTCTTTTTAGTATTTCATCATCAAAAGGATGGCTGTAAATGAAATTTGGACATTTCATTCATTTTCTTTCCAAAACGAAAATAAATAACCCTGACTATAGAACCAGAATTTTCACACCCCACCGCTTCAAACGGACACAACACACATCCTTGTTACCCTCTACTCTAGCGCCTCCATGTGCTTCTCTCCGGGAGAAGCTTCTGCAGCTGGAAGCAGCGTATTTTGTGGTCATTGTCATGCAGACGGACGCTCCAGCCCTTTCAGAAAAGCGCTGTGGTCTTCTGTGTTGGGAAGGCACATCCCACCAAGTTCAGTGAAAAACATTAGAGCTCAATGTCCTCTCTTCTCAGTAAGTGCAGGTGTTTGTTGCCCATTTCCCTCCACGCTTTTCTATCTGCTGCCTTCACTCTGGAGCTTCGTGAGCAGGGAGAGCAGCAGTCCTCAGAGCCTGGATTGCGGATCCCTAGAGGTGTGCTGTCTCCCCTTAAGAGGCCACATACCACATCTCTGATGCTGCTTTAAGTTCTCGGAGCCCACACCTCAGATTAGCTATGGATTCTGTCTCCTGCACTGCCAATAGACAACTGATCCTGCTTTTGTTTTATGAAGTACACAGAATTTTTACAGAATGTAGAATTTTGATATCATTAAGTAATCCCAATCAGAAAACTCCTTGAGCAGTTGTTTTGTTGTCAGTTTAAGTTAAAATCATCTTTACCCACTAAGACTTGTACTAACATTCCTTTTATATAAAAAGTTGTATGTGTCCACCTAAATTCCGTTGTCCACATTTAACCTTCAAAGATGTGTATTGGGGGAATATCAGAAAATAGAGCTCATGGCTAAGAATATGTAAAGTGGAAAAGCACAGCAAACTGCATTGCACTTAACCACATACAGCAAATCTATTAGGAAAAAAAGTACTTTTCTAAATGCTCAGATGTTATCAAAATACTATATTTATAGAAGTAATCCTCTCTCTGTTAACAGCCAGGATTTGCTGTTAGAAATAACTCTTGTGAGTTTTATATTGTGCTTTTTGGGGGGTTCTAATCATTTCAGCATTGGTATATTTTAAACAGCAGTATTACTATTAGCGGTGTGCTTCAGAATGTGAATTAACTTGTTGAAACTGTGGCTTTAACATCTGTGTGACTAGTGTATTTGATATTCACGCTCCATTAGCAAAATAATTCATTATAAACTCCACTAGTGCAGATTGCAGTTCTGTGAGCAATGTTCCCTATTGAATATAAACTACTGTCTAAAATATACATATCATGCAGCAGCTAGGCCTTTATCAGGAAAATTATATTTGGCAAGTTGCTGAAAGTGCACAAGCTCTGAAAGTTAAAGGTATGCTGCAAATAACTAGCCATTATCCTGTGTATTATTAAAATATTTACCAGTTCTGTTAAAAGCAGAGCAGAAATTAGACACTAAGAATCTTTGTGAATTCTTTGTTCTCTATAGTAGATTGCTGTTTATATGTAAGAATTTTATTGCTTATGTGGCATACAATATTTATAACTATATACTTTATAGAAGTACAGTATTAAAGTTAGTGAAATACGAACATTCTGTACATATCCCGTGAAATGTGCTGTCATATGAAATAAATATACCTGTCTTTACCATATTGACTACTTTGCTCAAAAGAGAAGAATTTTTCTCAGCCATTTTCCTTGAACTTTACATATAAGTGTAGTCACATTTGGAGATTAACTCTTATTGTCAAATTAGGTATTTTAATTCAAGATCTCATTTTCATCCATTTCACTTCTCCATATAACACCTACTCTAAAAGTAAGAAGAAACATATTCGGAGATTCCTAATCATCAAGAAGCACTTATTCTGTAAGGGAAGCCTTCATTCAAAATCGCGTTGGCTTGAATATAACACGTGAGGCATGACTGATGAACAACCCGGGGGGCGGTGCAGAGGGAAAGCAGGCATACGGACAGCCAGGCCAAAGAAGAGGTGGGCTAACGAGACCGAAGGTAAGAGGCCAAAGCTACTAGTTCCTATAAGTATTGCCCTTTGTCAGTCTTATGTGATTGCTGTTCAAAACAATTACCTTGATTTGTGAATAGTTGAATTAGGTTGGTTATTTCATTGCTTTTTTTTTTTTTTTTTTTTTTTTTTTTTTTTTTTTTTTTTTTTTTTAGTTTTAAGATAATTGTAGATTTATATGCAATTGTAAGAAATTATAATACACAAGAGATCTCACTTACCCTTTATCCAGTTTAACCAGTGGTAACATTTTGCAGAACTATAGTACAGTACCATAACCGGGACATGAACATTGATACAAAACATTTCCATCACTGTGAAGACCCCTCATGGTGCCCTTTTGTCCCATCCCCCTTTCCCTTGTCCTTAACTTCTGGCAACCACTAATTTATTCTCCATTTCTGTTATTTTGCCACTTCAAGAATGTTATGTAAATGGAACCATATGGTATATAACCTTTTAGAACTGGCCTTTTCTATTCAGCATAATTCTCTGGAGATTCATCCAGATGTGTACATCAATAGTTCGTTCCTTTTCATTGCTAAATAGTATTCCGTGGTAGGGATGTACCATGGCTAGTTTAACCATTCAGCCACCCATTGAAGGAATCAGGGTTTTTCCCAGTTAGGAGCTATTCTAAATAAATAAAGCTGCTATAAATATTCATGTTCAGGTTTTTGTGTGAACCTAAGTTTTCATTTCTCTGGAATAAATGCCCAGGAGTACAATTGCTGGGTCATGAGGTAGTTGCATGCTCGGATTTTTAAAAAACTGACATCTTCCAGAATGACTGTATCATTTTACATTCCCATCAGCAATTTATGAGTGATTCAGTTTCTTCACATCCTTGCTTGCATTTGCTGTTGTCACTTTTTTATTTTAGCCATTTTAGTAGGGGATATTTCATTATGGCTTTAATTTGTGTTTCCTTAATAGCTAATGATTGTGAACATCTTCATGTGTCTATTTGCCATCTGATATCTTTAGTGAATATATACTCGTGTCCTTTGCTCATTTTCTAAATTGATTTTTTTTTTTTACTGTTGTATTTTGAGGGTTCTTTATATATTCTGCATACTCATCCTTTGTTGGATATGTGGTTTGCAAAGATTTCTCTGAGTCTGTAGCTTATCTTTTTATCTTCTTCACGTGATGCATGCCAGATCCTGAGCTCTGCAGGTCGACAAACTACAGCATGGGCGATCGACACAGGATAACCAAACTCATTAAAAAAAAAACTGATGTACGAATCAAAATGCCAATTTATTGATGTTAGAAAAATAAGTCTGACCACATCAAGGTTTAACAACCATGTAGTAAAACAGGAACTCATATACTTGGTGAAAGGGTAAATTGGCACATCAAGTCTAGAGAACAATTTAACAACATCCAGTAAAGTTCATATACTCTATCAAAAGAAATTTGACTTGTAGAAAAACTAGTACATGTGGAATAGGACATGCATTGTTTGTAATGGTGAAAACTAGAAATAAATATCAACAAGGGAATGGAGTGACATCTTTATACAGTGGACTACTATACAGCAGCGGAAGTGAATGAAATATTAGTAAATCTCACTATGGAGCCATAAAGCAAGTTACAAAATAATACAGTATGATACAATTTATATAAAATTTAAAATATGCAAAACAGTACTCTATAGGGATATATACATGTGTTACTAGAATAAAAACACAATGGGAATGATAAATTGAGGATAGCAGTTACCTCTGGGAAGAGAGAGGAACGGGTTCAGAGAGAAATGTGGGAATTTTAACTGTATCTCTAATGTGTTAGGACTTAATAGAAAAAAAAAAATTCAATAGAGTAAAAATGTGCTCTTTTCCTTCCTGTCTGATATCTAGCTACCGTTGTAAATGACCCATTAATTATCTGGACCAGAGTATTCATCACTAATGGGTTGCTTCAACAGATACCAATGGTCATAAGATGACCTTCACCTTAGGAAGGCAACAGTACCGAAAATATTCAGAGAAAATTAGCCAAAAAGCTCAACACCACACAGATGTTATCTTTGACTTCAAATTCAGAACCCACTTGGGTAATGGTGAGACAACAGGCTTTGCCATGATTGGTGATTACTTAAATCACACTGAGAAAAAGCTCCACACACATTTGTAAGACATGGCCTATAAGGAGAAGAAAAAGACGTTTAGAGAAAACTGATAGAGATGCAATAAAAGAATAACGTTAGAAGTACTACAAAGGCAAATATCAATGCTAATGAAGGTTAATAATGCTGCAAGGGCTTGGTCTGTGGCGATTTGGCAGATTTTCCACCAGGTGATTAATAAACTACATATTTAAACAAAATTGGATGGCCAGTACATGGGTTTTCTATACTTTTCATTAATATTGTATTATTTTAAAGTATACCAAGAGACCCTGTAATATGTTTGTGGATAAATGGTTCTAATTAAATGTCTATACTGTGAACCAAGTTTTAAGCAGCAGTTGGCTTGATGAATATGCAATTGGATTCAAGAGCAATAAGGGATAACCTCATGGCCAGCAGTCAGGAGCTAAGAGAACCAGCAGGCCTCTTTAGCCATCTGGGGAGAGAGGCGTTTGTGGATCTGAACAGTATTACATGTTCCAGGGTCTGGGTTATCAATGCCCCAGCAGTAGGAGAGATGAAAACACATCTCTCCTTGGACTCCACTTCTATGCAGTGTAACAGCCTTCATGTGAGGCCCTGGATTGGTTTGGGACATTTCCAGGCCTACTGTCATTTTCTCCACTCTGTCCCAAGAAACCCAGGGATGCAGTTTCAATGCAGAGAGCCAACGTTTCAGGAATACAAAGTGGCTTGTAATATGCAAATCAATTCATATTCGGCAATGGCCCTTCCAAAGAGACAACCAGGAGTAGAGCCTTGCACTATCTCAGCTTTACTAGCGCCTCGTTATTGAGGGCTCAG